GACCACTAGGTACAGGGGCTTCGGTGGCACAGTGAGTTTATTCATCCGTACCAAAGCAAAAAAAACAACAAACAAGGAGCCAACCATATCTAAAGGAACTCCTTTCTTTAGAATTATTTCACAAGCACATTTCCCCATTTTTTAAAAATTGTTGTTCCTCCCTACCATGCTTCCACTGAGAAACGGGAAACATTCTCAAATGCATCAAAAAAATAGCAGCAACACTGAAAAACACCCTTTCTCCCTAATGTATGATAAATCCTGAGTATCGGTCAAATGTTGATTCCTCCCACTGATAGTGTATCTTTTTGCTCAAAGGCATCATCTGATCATAAATCTCACAAATGCTATAAGTGTATACCTGAGAATAAAGGAAAATAAAAACATAAGAGTTGCTGTAAATACAGCCTCCCCGCACACCCTAACCGCACGACTCCTGCACACACCATTTCCTAAATAAATGAGGTCTGTTCAATCGTGCTATTGATCTCCTGGCTGACTCTCTCCACCACAAACTTCTTGAACCAAACAGGCCAATACTGAACAAGTTTCACAGCAGCGCTGGAGATGGTAAGTTCCTACAGGTTCCTGGTAAAAGAGTTTGTAGGCTGAGGAAGAAGACAGTCACCGAAGAGGAGGCCCAGTAGCCCCCTCCTCTGCTGGGCTCAGAAGCCAAGGGCTCTGGGCTGGCCGTGGTATGTGCCAGCTGCTGATGGGCCGTGGTGGTGGCTGGTGGCCTGAACCGAGGGCCAAGCAGAAGGCAATAGGGGACTCTGAAAGATATTACTGAGGTGGGAACACAGCTTTTCTATAAATAATGGAACTAAGGACTTTGTTCTCTAGTTTGTGTTCATATTATTCTCTCTCGTACTAAGGTCTTATTATGGGCTTTTACCCCTTTCTATATGATTGATCAAAATGAGGTGTTCCCCGAGACCCCAAGGACTTCAAAACACTCATCACCTCCATTCCAGCTGACAGAAATTCCCATCTGCGTTCACGCAGGTCACCAAACCGTACTTTGCTATGCAGTGAACTACAGTTGTTTTCTGGTGCTGCTGTCTCTGGTCTTGAGGACAGCCACTAACAGCCTGGTTATTTTGCCTCCCAGCTTCTCTAGACATGTTTCTGCTGTCACTGCCAGGTAATTGCTTGAGTTATGGTACGCAAGGGTTTCTTGGGCAGAGGTCTATGGACTCATATCAGCATTTTCAACCGTGGCTGCAATGATGGGACTCAAGCCAGACACTCGCTTCTACTGTTCAGTTCCTACTAAAGATCTACGGAGCTGCCAATGACTGAAGCTTCAACTCTCTCCCTGACTCCATCTGCTGATAACCACTCTCTGAGCGAGATTTTTCCTCTCCATGTGACAATTATAACCAGGTCCTCACTGTGCAACATCAACTCACACAAAGAAATGCCAACACCTACAGCTGAGGAACAGTTTCACGGTTTCACTACACGGCCCCTAAAGCTGACAAAAGCAGGTTATTGAGGTGCCAGACCCAAAATGCCTCAAAGGTTTTGGATAAGAACAGTGTAGAAACAAACAAAACCAAACAAACCAGAGGCCTCAAGCTGGAGTTCCATTAGCAAGGCATTATTGTAGATGGGAGATGCTCTCCCAGACTGGAAAGGAAAGAAACAACCAAGTCCTTAGATCATCAGCTCTCAGAAACTTGTGGTCGCATGCAGAAGAGAAACACGAGATGTTTGACATCCTGCACCACCACAATGCTTTATTAACACTCTCTCTGAGAAAGATTTAATGAGAGCCTAAGCTACTGTGCAGTTTTAGTTGCTGACTGTTGTTGAAACGAAGCAGAACAAATGCTTATAACCCCCTACCCAGCGCTAGCCTGATTCCAAATACAATTTAAAAGTATGGTATTCCAATTAACAGAAAGAAGAGACAATTTCTTAAGTCTGAATGTTGGATTAAGTCCCAGAATCCCAGCCCAGCTGCCCGTTACACACACACACACAATGCCAATGGCAACGACAGCCATCCACAACTATAGAAGTGTGTAATGGAGTGTCTGATTAGAAAACAAGACACATAACAGAAGAAACACAGTTCAAACTCCATGGCACCACTGAACGTCCTCCTCCCCTCCCCAAAGAATCAAAGTTTAAGCAGCTCATGCATTACTAAAGGGCGGATACAGGACAGCTCACTTCAGTTGGACTCTGGTCCTGGACTTTTTAAGATCCAACACTAAGCAGACTAAAAGTAACAAAATAAGAAACATCAGCAATAAAGATGAAGTAGTTCAGTACTTCCATGTTTCCAACCTCAGCAGTTATTACAGAAATAAGCACTGTCAGCCTTTCAAAGGGAGAGACAAAACTTCACCTGACAAGAGATTTGCTTAAACTTAACACTGTGAGCTGCCAGCAAGCACTGACTACAACTCACACTTCGCTTTCTTCGCTTTAATAGCCACCTTAGAATAACAGGCACAAACACTTCTGGTGCCTGATAACTCTTTACCCCTTAAATTTTGCAGGGAGCCATTTTCTTTAACAAAAATGCTTCCTACCTATCCCAGCTTGCTTTTGCTCTCGCTCTCAAAGCAGAAATGCTTTTCATTCAGAAACACGACCGCATGGGAAAGTTCTACAGCTCAGGAAGTTGTCCATGAAAACGGATCTGCATTTGAGACTGTGTCAGAGCAGAGAAGGCTTGAATTAATGCAGGTTTGTGTTATAAATATTTCACCGCTACACTTGTATCTCTGTCAAGAGTAGTTCAAGCACAGATTTTGTACAGCAAAATGTTTCTACCCTGGCTAGGAAGCTAGAGCCAGACTTAAAGTACACACATATATATGTCTTTACAAGGTTGAATATAGATGGGTATTTCAGAAGATCCCACCAAAAAATGCCTGCTTGTAACTTTGGGCACTTCAAAGTACATTTAAAAAGTTATGTAGGGCTGATTTTTACTTTTGTCTTGCTCCTAATAATGCACTATGAATGTGCTCTTAAAGAGGTATTCTACAAACTCTCCATTTATAATAGATGGTGCTAAAAATCAGTAGTTGCTCATACTGTAGCATTTCAATAGCTCACCTAGCCACCAGCTAAACGTGAACAGCAGAGCACACATATTTTAAGATAATAAACCAAAATCTATTATTTCTTCATGGTTGGCGTTGGGCATGTTTAGGAAACAGAAGAACCACCCTTCCCTGCTCCCACATTCCAAAATCATGGACTTTCTAGAAAGTGATCATTCACGCTCTTACCCAACACACCATGCCACCCACGTTTCCAGCCATCCCTCAGGAAATGACATGTAATACAGGACCAACATACGGCAGAACACCCTTTAACTGCCCAGTTACCTCCCATTAGACCAAACAGAATGCTGCAGTGCAGGAGAGCATTCTGCATAGAGCCTCGGCAAAGACAGACTTCACATGGAGTACATCTGAGCCACTAACAGTTATCGAAATTACCCAAAAGCTTGTTTACATGACACCACGAGAACCTTCTCCAATCTGCTGTCTCTCAGGACATGCAATTGCAGTCACATCTGGTTGCTGGTCGTTCACTAGAACACACTTTTCCCCTCAACTATCCAGTACAGCTATGCAGAACTCTCTCCATTGAAGAAATGTGTTCGGATAGAGGGGAATCATTTTCCTACTAATAAGCAAGAAAGAATAATGGGATATATTCTGAGTTTTTCTTCTGATGACCAACAATAAATCATTTCTTAGCTCAGGTCACATCTTCCATGGGAAGAAAAATGTCTTGCCATCATTAACTTCTTTTCAGCTAGCAATAATATATGATCAGGTTTTAAGTAATTGAACCAGTAGCATTTAATTAGCTCTGAAAAACGATCTCAGATCATGAATCACAGACTTTCCACCTGTATGAGGTCCCCTCACTAGGTTAGAAGTATATTTCTCTTTCCATGTGTGATCCATCTTGAATATCTAATGAAGTGCTCTTGATATATGGATTATAGTTCATACATCACACACAAAATACAGCAGACACACAGTCTCTTTCTTTATATAATTGAGTTTCATGTCTTGCTTCACTGAGTTGTTAAAAAAGAAAAAAAGCAAAAAAACCCTCGTGTCCATGACAAAATGGCCACTACTGCCTTCAATTTAACAAATTCCTCTTTCTCCAGAGAGTCAGCATTAAGCATGAGTAACTTAAGTATCTAGCTGGGGAACTGAAGTAATAGAAAGAAATATTTCTTGTTGAAAGGCAGGATATGGAGAACTGCTACAGTTTCAGACAAGACCACATTGACATTTTTCAACAGGCCCAGAGCACTGCCTGACCAAAGAGCACGATACTTCCATCCTAACATTACTTCAGATGGCTTCATTGCACACTAAACAGAAAAAGTCAGTGCAGTCAACTAGTATTTGGGGACATCTGTGGCCAACACAAACCACGATCACTTCTTATATCAGATTGTATTCAGCATCATTTTTTACATTAAATTAGCTAAACCACAATCATTAACCACAAAAACATCAGGTTTTATTCAGCTTTCAAATATGTTTCTGAAGCTGCTATTATACTTTTACAACGAGACTTAGATAATCATAAGACTGGATTTTTTTTTTGCTGAAAAAGAGACAAGATTAGCAAACTTCTTTTGAAAGACAGAAATGAAGACTCACAATCTGCTCAAGTGTCAAACTGTAAATGCTGCCAAATATTTAGCCTGCTCTGGAAAAAAGAAGTTTTACTACAAACCCTTCTATTTTTAAATAAGCTTTATAAAAAACCAAAATTCAACAAAATGGATTTTACCTCTCTCTTCTTTTCCCATCTTATTTTTAGCACAGTAAAAAAAAAAATAAATCCATGTTTCTGCTTTTTTCAATTTGAAGGCAGTGAAGGTTTACATTTCTATAATAAAAAAAGCAGTGAAAGCTGAACTGCCTTAATGGATTGGACAAAGCTCGTCTTTACCCCAAGTACTTCTTTCAGATGTTATCATAAATTGTAAATAACGTTGCTCTCCATTGCATGTGATGCTTCATCTAGTTCTACACAACATTTAAAAAGGCTGATGGGATTAGCGCCCCAAACATTAAAGCTGCTGAGAGAGGAAAGGATGTATGACATCCATTATATACACATCCACTTTCAAAAATGTTTGTCAAGTGGATGGTAGAAATTTCAATGAGAACAGACTTAGATTTACAATCTATCCTTTACATTAAATAGCAAAAACTCCAAACAATCTCCAGTTCGTTGTACTATATTTGGTAGATAACATTTCTGTTAGTTCCAGTTGTTCAGCTGACATTAATCCTGAGGTTTTAAGAACTTTTTCTTAGCTTTTTTGCTAGGTCTTGTGTTACTATTCCCATCTTCATCTTCATCCTGGAGTACACGCTGGTCTCTTTTTCTCAAGAATTTCTTCCCTATTGTTCCCACTAATGTTTCATATCTGTAAAGACAACAAAAAATGTACAGCTTTTACTAAAATCACAAAAAACTTCAATGGAGTAAATCATAAAACTAATCAACAATTTAAATGGTGTAAAAAAAAAAGCTGGTCATCGGAAGCTTCAGAAGCAAAAGTACTACATGATCCCTTATTACATTATTATTTGTTCTCATAGTTTGGGTTTGTTGGCAATCTGGAACAAGGAGGGAATTAGCAGGGAATACCTGGATATCAAAGGGCAGAAGACTCCTACAAGGTAGTTTACCTTCAAATGCGACAGAGATTCCACCGAATACACACTAGAATTCCTGGAAAATCAGTTCTGTAAAGTACCATATCTGTTGGGTGTAGTTTTTTATTTTATTTGTTTGCTTTTTGGGTTTACTTTCCCCACACATAACGCAGTAACATAATATATTCATAGCGAGTATTGATTATGTCATAAAATACAACTTACCTTCTGGCCATTTCTTCATCTGACACATCAGCCTCCATTTTATCATCCACTTGAATTTCCTCCTCCTTGCACCCAGAGTTCATTTGGATCATTAACTTCTGAAAATGAAGTAAGAAATAGCTTAAATACATAACCCTGACACAATGGCAACTATGCTGAAGTTGACTAGTAGGAGAAAGGCATAAAAGGTACGAATCAAATTTAATAATTATTCGCTGTTCCCTGGTCAGGCTAGAGCATACGAAAGCTCATGGAGAAAAGGCAACATGCCTGCCTTTTGCTAAGCTAAGCTTAGAGTTTGCCTTTGGGAAAAGAGGCAACAGAGAGACAGAGTTTTCAGTGAACCGTACCATTCAAACATCCTCAAGGGCATGGCAGACATCTTCGAGAGACCAGAGAATTAGATCATAATTAATTTTTCATTGTGATGCTAGCACGTAGTCCTAGAAAGGGTTTTGTTAAGAAGGAAAAATCTCTGTAAGGATTTACAATAAACTGCTAGTAAAAACCAGGAAGCAGCAATATGCCAAGTCACAGTGAGACTGTGTTCAAAGTAACTAAAAGAATCCCCTAGTAAATCACCTTGCCCAGCCTTTTGCATTCCTCTCAGCCTTTGCACCTTCGTCCTCTTGCTTCAGCTCAGTGGTAACATTTTTATTACTATCTCAGCGTAGTTCTATCTATGTAGTTCATGCCAGCAAGAAATTAAAGACTCTCTTTCCCAGAACTTTTACTTGGGAACTTTAAACCCTTACTTACACAAGTAAGTGGTGAATAAACAGGGTTGGCTGTTTGTAGGATTGGACTCTAAATGGCAGGAGGAAAAGTGAGCTATTGTTTTGGTGAGCAGCATGTGGGACAGCTTCCTCGCTTCAGGAAGGGAATATCTGCAGGAGTCATGCACTTACTGACCATCAACACAAGGAGATAAAAAGCTTCTATTTACCAGATGCTGCATTGATCAACATTTTGGTTTGAATCACAGATTTCCTGTACACAGGAGGATCTATGGAAGGTGCCGCAAAGGCCAAACAGCATGCAGTGTGAACACTCAAATTCCCAACCCCAAGGGCTTCAGTCCTAATCTGAGCCCGCCTCAAAACAGAACATTTAAACAGTACCTCAACTTCTGGATTGAATCCTTTGAAGGACATTCTGCCATAAAGTAGATCCTCACATGGCATAAAGCTCCTCTCTTCTATTATAAAGCTCCTGCATGAAACCCCAAACCCAGCATTTGTCAAACAGCGTGCTTTAAAATAATCAAATTGAACAAATGCAAAAACCATTTGCTGTCTTCCCCCCGCACGAATAAACAAAACCATAGCGTATTTTGAATCATCAACTACTTTCTGAAGCTTAATTGCTCTGATAAATCTTTCAACACAAGGAGCTTGGAGTGCAAAGGAATACTTTTTGCCAGTAAAGCTGTGCCAATTCCACAAGCAAAATTAACTCTCCTGACAAAAAGCACTCTTTGCTGGTATGATTCCACCTACATTAATGCTTTTGCCAGAATAAAAATACCACATAAATATCACTCTCCAGGTGGCATTACTATACCAGCAAAAGCTTCTAATTAATTTCTCATTGTGATGTTAGACCTGGCATTAGTTGAGTCTGTCAGGATATAAAACCCTGCGTAATTCTCTGTTCAGCAGAGAAAGATTTCCCCTTTCTCCCTCCTTTTTTCCTCTTTTAATGAGCATGGGGCGAGAAAAGAAACATGACCCCGAGGCGTTCATAATACACGCGTTAGATAAAAGTACTTCCGTGAATTGTTCCATCCTTCTTTTCCTCACACACATTTGCACCTCTTCCCTCATCCTCTTCATCTCCCATGTAAAAAAACCTCCTACAATCATAGGACATTAGGCTGAAGAGACCAAGCTCATTCTCCTACCAAAAGGTAGGATCAGTTAAACATGTACCATGAACAGCAGAGGTCCATCTAACCTGTCCTCAAAAGACTTCCAATGATGAAGAATCCAGTGTCTCCTTAGGCAATCTATTCCAGTGCTTCAATAGACTCATTGTTAGAAAAATCCTCCCAATGTCCAGCTTGAACCTTCCTTGCTGCAACTGAAGCTCAAATACCTTTTTGTCATATCCACCAAGCGTCATGGAAAATAGTTTATCAATGACCTTATTCAAGTACAGTTAATTCCCTGGATCCCAGCTTTTAAAAAATTATGTATGTTCTCCCTCAATGGAATTTTTGTCCTCTTTTGAAAGGACAAAAATCAAGCAATTTTAAAAGCAGTTCTCTTGCTATTTAAAGCACCTTCCTAAATGGCAGGAATGGACATTTTCTTCCTTATTAGCCAAGTCTTCCTTTATTTTTGCCATTATCTGTCCTATTTCAAAAACAGGATTTGAAGTGAGCTGGACTCAAGAAGACAGAACTGTCCTGAATGCACCTAACCACGTGACTGGAGCTGAATTTACTGACACAAGGTTTCAAACATCTTTTTTCAAATGAAGGGATAAAACAGCAATGAATGAATTGGTCCCTGCCTGAAAGAAACTAATTACATGCATCTAGAAGAAACTGCGAGTGAAAGAAAACAACACACACAAGAAATGAAAGTAGGTCAAACTGCACTAGGCAACCTTGAGAATGTCCCTGAAATAAATAAATAAATGAGCTGTAATGCCAGTCTGTCACTATTTTTACTTCTGTTAATTAGTTATTAATAATACTTCTTTTACAGGAAAAAAAAAAAAGTATATTCTATTCCCAATCCACAACAAGCCAATGATGATAAGTACAAAAGGGTACAAGCTTACTCTTTCTCCTTTAGGTCTGGTAAATCGAGATACCAGTGTTCTTCACTAATTATCTTCTTTTCTTCCTCTTCTAGTTGTTTTTTAGTTTGTGAATCCAAACCCCTTTGCATGAACTAAAAAGAAAGACACATAAACACAGCTTCAGTTTTTTGCATCATTAGTACGTGCTGAACACGCAATAATTACATGATGACAATTATCCATGACATAAAATTTACACAGTTGATATAAAAAGTAAATGCTTTTTGTGATTTTTCAGTGGGTTTGGTCTAAGTTTGGGCAAAGAGGCAACGGAAAAAGTAAACAACTGTGGACCACAACCACCTACTGGAACTCAACAGTCAGGCATGGAAAGAAACAGACCTTTCCTGGTCAGTTTTGATGGATCTGAGTTGTTACAACTCTGTAACTTTGCTAAGGTTTTTCTAATGTTTCAGCAAAGGCCAGAGAGAACATAATGGTGTTGAAGTGATTGCTGCTATCAGAAACCAACATCACCCATACAAAGAGCACTGGAGGTCAGAGCCTGAACTACTTCATACCAGGTTGGTCATTTTTGGAAACATCTATACTTTCAACCATCCTCTTCTTTTCTCAGATCTCATTTAACGAACTGGCCTGCGTTTGTAGCTCTGAAGGCTGGAACCTGCCTTTGGAAGTGGAAAAAAGTAACTGAGGCTATGAAAAGAAGCCTTTTGTGTTCAGCTGTGCTAGAGGAAGATGTTACCAGCTCTTAACTTCTCATCCATGACCCACCAAAGTACCAGTCAAGCAGTGTATGTAAGTACCTGTTAACTCACTGGACAATCAGTCTACCAAGTCAGTGGAGACCAATAACTTATTTTAGGGTAAGACTGCTACTTTTGCCTAATACAAGGACATTCCTGTAAATTGCTTCCTTGGTGAAAACCTTTGGCAGAGGGTGGGAACAGGCAGATAGAACTCTCACAGCTGGCAGTAGAAGAGGATATCTGTCATGGCCTATGACAAGCTACTCAGGGTGCAAAACCACAGACCAGATGTATGTGAAACACCCCTTTTCTTTCCATTTGTCTCAAGTCAGGTGCCTGAACTGAGTGACAATTTCAGCATCAACAATATTAATCCAGTTTCACCAGACATGCTGGAAAAAACAGAACTCTTCACAGTAATCCTTATATTGCTTTTGTAGCTAGAGGAATTTTATATCAACTAATTTTACCCCTCTCATTTAGAGCAGCATCGTTTCTATGTTTAGATAAGCCTGCAGGCTCACGGGTAATGTGCCAGTGGGGCACATCTGTCTCTTGAACACTAGCAGAGACTTGGACACAGTTTAGATCCCAGATAAAATGGGCTTGGTTGGGGATAAAGCCCAAGAAGGCATCACAAAACACTTCCCTCCCACAAGAATTCTGCATTACTGAGCTTATTTAAAATATCTCAGTAATATAAATGTTTAAAATATATATATACACACACAAAACCTCCCCTTTTCAGTCTTTACAAAACACCCAAGCAAAACAAATCAAACCCTGAAGTAAAAGCCAATATAGTGCTAGCGTCTCATTTTCCATTTATATTTCTATTTGCATTCATTTGTACAAGATCTTTAATGAAAGAAAAATTGACTTTTGTTTTCTGAGTCAATCCAAAATATGTCAAAGCTTTCCAATTAAAATTACAGTATCTTCTTGAGGAAAATAAGGGAATCTATCATGTGGAAAACCATATTGCTAAAGGAAATTGGTTAGCCAGTCAGAAACCTCAACAGGAAAAATTCTGCTACAAGCACCCAATTAAATAATAATTTCACATTACATTTTAAAGATTATGTTCCTAAAAATTACTACAGGAATAACTAGACGAAAAACATGGGATCACATTTATCTAAAATGCAAACACACATGGATGAATTAAAACCCATTGCGGTAGACACAGAGTATGTTAAGTCAGTAACTGAGTGGTTATTTGGATTAGTTTCCCCAAGCAATGGGACCTGGATCAAATGGTGCAAGATCTAAAAGCATGAGCCATCCTTCGACATGAAGAGGTGAGCACACATGGTAGCACCCAGCTCGAAGGGTCTTCACAATGCTACCGCTGACCACGTGTTGCCTTTGGGTGCCTGTTGAATCGTGGTAAGTGGAAGCAGCTGCTAAAGCTGTTAATGTTTAATTAATTAAAACATTTGTAAACAAGAAGATCTGCAGAAGGAAAGTGCTAAATACAAGATCTGTGTATGACCTTTTCAAAACCTACTCATCTCTTCAAAGCTGGTTACTACTGCCCCAACTGTAAACCTGCAAATGTCACAGCAGCACGTTCACAGGCTGGTTCTCCACAGCCTTCCATGGACGAAAATCTAAAAACTGGCTTTTGAAATTCCCAGGGCGTTAATAACCTAGCAAAAAACAGGAGCAGAATTTTCACTTTAAAACAGTGTATTACATAAAAATAAGAAAAAATAATGATGCTGCAATCCAGGTTATGGGAGTCATACTCTGTCACACAGCCCTGGCTAGCTAAGCTCAACATCTGCTCCCTTTTGAGAGCAAAGCAAAATGCATTCCATCTCCTCTGTGCATGAGTTTTAGTCCTTCATTAGCAACATCTGTTAATTGAGATAAATATTCCATCACCTCACTGTAGCAGAGTACACTTTACATGAAAGACTGAACTGAAGTCAGCTAAATTCCTTCCAGCTAGTGCCTGAAATATAGTCCCATATAAATATGCAGGGGAAAAAACGCTTAAATAAAACACCACAAGCAAGAAAACACAAAGGTCTTGTCATATTCAGTTATAAAAATTTAATGGATATTAACATTTTTTTAAAAAAATAACAGCAACTCAACTTTTACTGGTTGTTTTCCACCAATAAAGAACCATCAATCACAGGGGAACATACTCTACTGAATTAAGTGTTGTAGTACACGACGTGAAATAGAATCCATTAGCCAGCAAGCAGAGACTAATTTCACATTGGAGCTGACGTGAGATTCACAATTCCAAGGGTAACGGGCACGTCACGGTGTTACTGACAGCCCTTGCGTTGACGAGTTGGGAACGGCGGTTACCACTGCCGTTCAGGTTGGGCTTCCGATTAGCCATCGATGTGAGCAGACGAAAAAATGGACATAATTAAAAAAAACCCACAAAAACTTTTTTTTTTTCCAGGATTAAAAGCCCCCTCAAGTAAGGCAAGCAACATTAGTATTTTAATGTCAATGTGTGTGTGTGCGGAGGGGGGGGAAGCCTTACTTTTATCCACGATAAGCGACCTAACTGCAGAGAAAGCAGGTGGAACGGAAACACTCTCCAACGGTGCCCAAAGCCGGCTCCTGCTCGGGGGAGCCTTTCGCTGCAACCACCAAGTTGTCCCCCTCGATCAAAC